TTATATTAAAATGGTGGCAAACAAGTTTATGGCCCGTCTGATAATAAGCGGCCACCATAACCTACTTAATACTACTAAAATAGGCCACGTAACCACCATAGAAGCTAGCGATACCAAAAATATCACACTCTTAGTGTCGCCGCACACGGGTCACCGACCACAACCACAAAACGCCGCCACCGGCATATTTCTCGTAGTTTTCATACATTTTATGTGTACTCGCCACACACGGTAAGCGGCCGCCACACGCTACAAATCGTCGTTGCTCGCTTCTTGTGGCCCGCACCGGCCACTAAATGCGCTGATACAAAACGCCGCCACTCGTCACTCGCGCGATTCCCCACCCCTCTCTTCCTTACCTTAGTCGGCCGCTGTCGCGCGCTTCGGCCACTTTAGTAGCCGCTTCTAGCATCTCGTGGCGACGTTTGTGGCTATGGCTACTTACTAAAATAACTTCAAAACGGTGCATTATTGTGGATTATATAAACATCATAATAATCGGTTTAGTCAATTCCGAGATGCAGCAATCGTGTAAAGTTACCCCAGCAGGATTTTAAATATCTTCGCCACCGTAGCAAATATAAATACAAATATAACATTTATTAGCCGGATCGCGAAGGATGCGGGTTCGAGTCCCGTCCGCTGCCTGGTCCGCGTGGATTTTTTTCTAGTAAACTTTTCTTTAGATTTAAACATCTAGCAGTTAAATGCTTAAAAAATAAATAAAATCATAATATTTATTCCTAAAATAGTAGATCTGTCACCAAATTAAATCAAAACGCTTATCTAAATATTAAGATTTACTTGGAAATAATATTAATCATCTAGTAAATGTAGAGGGTTTCAAAATAATAGAAGTGTCACTAGAATTGATTCACCAAACAATGTAAAAATGTTTACCTATAATTAATTTTATAATCACTAAAAGACGATAAAAATTATCAATTATAATTCGCCTGAAACTCGATGACATAGTTATAAATTGTTTCTAGCACTTCCAATAAGAGTTACTCGAAACGTTATTTTATAGGTAAATACTGCCGATAAATGGTACTGAAGTTTCATTAGTGTCTTAAACTTAATTAAAATTTATGATGAAACGTCAATTTGTTCCGGGCACGGCGCTCATTGGAGTTATTTGACGACCGATGAACTGAGTTTCCTGTAGAAGTGATAACTGAATCATAAATCAATAAAATTAAATATAATTATAGTTACATTTTATACCTGTGAAAATTTAGACTTGTATACTAATTCATCAACGAGATTATATCGAAAAATATATTTTGTATTTACAGATAGAATATTATTTATTTTAAAAATAAAAATGCGTAGGTAATATTGCTTTTTAAGTTCAGAAAATTAATTCCTACCCCAAGATCGAGACAGCAATAGTTTTAAACTTCAGTTCATGTTTTGTAATAAGAGGCTTATGTGTCTAAATTGTCTTATCTTACAGATGCAGGGTTGGGCGACTTTTCAAATTTACCACCACGTGAGTCGTGACTAGTGTTGCCAGGTCCGATTTATTTAAATCTTATTATTAAATCGGTACACGAGGTCAAAAATTCGGGATTTAGGGTTGCAGATCTGAACAGTAAACATAAAACAAGGGTTTTTAAGTCTAGGTTAAATTTATTGCGTTTTAAACTACTAGTGCAAGTATAATATTATATTTTTATTCTTTGATTAATCGGGATATTTAGCGTCCCGATCTAGGTTCAAATTGGGACGCGTCGCCAGAGCCATGAAAATCGGGACGTCCCGCGCAAATCGGGACACCTGGCAACACTAGTTGTGACTGCTGCAAGGTTCTCCTCCCCAATTTCTAGGATTTACTCGACGTTCTGACTACTTTTTTACGTCTTGAAGTACTTTTTTCGTTCCATTACTGATATCATCGTCAACATCAGTGGCGTAGCATACCTTGGCGGGGGCCTCATATAAAATATTGTTTGGGAGCCCTAAGGAAGGGTAAAGATTTCTCACAAAGAAAAAAAAATGTTTGCATATAAAAAATATTTATTGATCATCATTATCTATCTGTCACATTTTCCAAAATTCTTACAAACAATTCAAATTAAATATACACTCTCTTTGCCTTTTTTCGGCAAACTGATTAATTAAATCATATAAAGCTGATGATGACTTTAGTTTTTCTAAAGTTTCTGCCTCTACGGACAATAGTGATTCCGTGGTTTATTATAGTATCGCATGTACATCGATTATTGTAGAATTCCCCCGTTCAAGTAAATGACTTAAACGGAGAAATCCCGCAGCCCGCGATAACCGAAGCAGGGTGTTGCCAACGCACGCGTTACGCGGGAAAAAAAGAAATTGCTTTTTTATGACTTTTGTCATTTCTGAAAAAAAAAATTGGGATGTTTTTAGTAATTTTTGCTTACGCCCGTTGGGGGCCCCCGTGGCTTGGGGGCCCCGTATAATTGATATGGCAGATACGGCGGTAGCTACGCCACTGGTCAACATACTCCTGCATGATAGATGAGCTCCCTACTCTCTATCTCTCGATTACACTTGGTCGTTAGCTCGAATACGAATGCCTATGGAATTCGGACAAATGACTTAGTGTAAATGAACGGAGTCAAGTACCTACGCCTGTATTCATTTCGTTCCAACTAGAACGCGGGTTCAGGGTTATTTGCTTGTGTTCCAGTACCCGAAAACAATGTTATTATTGCTTCCCGTGTCCGAATTCGAGTAATGTCTTTCGTGCACCCGATTACGGGCTTACGATCAAATATAATTGCGCCACAGCTCCCTTTCTTAATCTTGCTACATCAATACTACCTTCAGTTTACTTGTTTAATAAATTATACTATTTTCATGACATTTTAAATATTGTTAGTTTATATATGTTATGAGTGCCACCCATTAAAGTATATTTATGGCTTTATGGCATTATATGAGGTATGATTACATACTTTCATTGCTTACATCTGACGCATCGCATGATTATACTTTTATTTGCAGATAATGGTTATCGTTTGAAGTGGAGCTAACAGATTATGTGAGTCTATGCCGATCATCATAAAATGGATGATTGCATGTAGATATAAAACTTATACTTACCACTTACCTACACAGCATATACTTAAAATAATATATACGAAAAATAAATGATCAAGTAATCGTTATTATATAAATATAAGACCGACTTTTGATATCTGCGTTTACTATTATGTGTGCTTTATAATAAATCTATAATCTATACTAAATATGCACTCAAATTGACATATATGTTTGAAGGTACGGAAAGTCAACCATCTTCTAGCAAGGATTGAACAGGAATGGAGGAGGCGAGCAGGGAAAATACAGTACCCCTAGCACGAACCAATATCGAATTCGTATCGTTTGCGAGTCCGAAATGTCATTGTCAAATGTGTACTGATTTTTAGTTCTCGTTACGTACTTTGTGCCGCTGCTGTTCAAGTTTCCATACAAAATTGACATTGACATTTCGGTTTGCAAACTATTCGAATTCGATAATGGCTCGTGTTAGGGGTACAGAGCGGAAGGAGAGGAAAAGAAAAGAGAGCAAATTGGCATGCTTAAACCTTAGGATTTACCTAAAAACTAAAATTTACTTCGCTCCATTACTTTCTTATTGTGTGATCATTAAGGATATAATGCGGTCGAAATCAGCCGCAAGCACAGATATATTCAGGTTCCACGTACCCAAGCCGTAACAAGTTTCGGCAAAAGATTCCCCGCACAGAATCGATGGAACCAGGATTGCTGCAGCCTGTGATGTGGTGTCGGTGCTATTTCCCACCGTGGCTCCCATTAATGGCGGCCTCCCTCGTACCAGAAACATACCATAGTCCAGAGTTTTAAGCGATCACAACGGAACAGCTCAAGCAAGCGGTGGTAGTACTCCGAACCAAAGGAAAAGCCCCGGGATCAGATGGCGTCCCAGGTAGGATAATACCGTTGGTACTGGAGCATCTTGGGGTATATTAACGAACAAAGACATTAATTTGTCAACAAAAGTTGTTGGATAGGTGCTTAAAGTCCCGTGTTCCCGAAGCAGTGGAAATGGGGCAAGCTCTGTCTAATGAAAAAGGAAGATAAACCAGCTGATTCTCCTCCAGCATTTCGCCCTTTCGTCCTACTGGGAGGATAATTGCGGATCGTGTCAATAACTATTTGGACACAGTGGGGCCCAATCTGTCGGACATTCAGTATGGTTTCCATTGGGGACAATCCACTATCGATGCAGTTTTGTCGCTATGCAAAATCGTATATAGGACCGTGAGATCTGTGCTATTAAACACTCCAATATTATCATAAAAACCCCCATTCTAGTCTTTATTATAACCGAGCAAGTAGTTTGTTCGTAAGCAGTTGTTATTTTTGCAAAGTACCACGTTTATCGTGTTGAAGTCGTAAAAATAGTGACGGTAACGCGTCAAAGGCGGCTGATAACGGAAACCAAAGGGAACAATCACATGCACACTGCAGCACTGATAGCATTCTCAGTGAAGCGAACAATTTGTTTGATTCACAGAAAAATGTTTCTCTGATCTGTGGAGCAGGGAGATCTCCTACCGAAAGCTATAAATAAGACAGTTTCAAGTGTTTAAAAGAAGGATAATTATATACTTGTAGTGAAGGCCAATTTAAATTCTTGTTAATTTAGAGACGTATTCTGTTGATATAAATAGCTTGAAAATGGTGAAAAAATCTTTACGTGCAAGTGGAGTCGACATACAAAAGAATCTAATAGTTCAGTTCACCAAACGTATTCAGTGGAACTAACTAGCTGAAAAATACAGAAAAACGCCTATTTTTTCTCAAAAGAAAGGTATGTCTCTACTATGGCCCTTAGCAGTACGTCTATCGAGATTAATATACCTAAAAAAATACAAAAAAAAAACCATTTTTCTATTGCCCTCCACATGGCGACCATTCTGATTAATTTCAATAATTTGATATTGTGGTCTAAATTGCTGTCATTCACTATCCGTTATTTCATTTACCTGAGAAATTATTATAATTCAGAGTACGAATGCACCACATTCCAATGTGTCCTGGAATTCTTGACAGTTTGCCATCAAATATGTTTAGTCAACCAGAATCAGAATAGCAGCAATTTCAAAGCTTCTCCGCACACACTATCTACTCTTGAACTATATCTACTTCTACAAAATGATCACAAAATAACATCAACTACATAACTTCTCGCGAGGTTAACGAAGTATGATATTAGCGCGATGGTTTATTCAACGGATGGCGAAGTAAATTATAATCTGGGGCAAAATTGGAAATCAACGATTTACTCAATGAATGAATAAATCGCTGAGTTTTTGCCCATTCGCATCGCTGCTGCACACGAACTTATCACAGTGTACACATACAGACAAAACTAATCTAAGCATCTTATCAGTTATCATTTTTGCATGTTGGTGTGAAAAATTTATCTGTCTATCTATGCAGGTTTGCAACTTAGTTGTTTTTTTATTTACCACCTGATGGCATCCAGATGAAAGATGAGGCAGGGACATATCCACCAGCCACTAGCAGTCAGGCGGTCAGTGTGACCCTTGATTCTCGCAAACTCTACAAGAAGTTTCGTTTGGTGATAAACACCGAGCTACTCGCTGAATGATTAATCATATAGTACACAGTGAAATCACCACACCTACTTGACTTGCATAGATTTAGCTTTGAACTAAGCGACTCTTTTTAGTGTGGCCTTAACCTTGTGACAACCAAAATAATTTACGAAAGACAAGACCAATTTACTGATAATTAGATTGCAGTTTTCTCTGTCATAGAGTAGGAATAGGGCAAATGGACAACAAATTGTCGTCTTTTTTCGGAAACAGTAATAAAGTGACATGAGAAATATCCCGTTAAATAATTTTGGCGCAAAGAAACTCGAATTATCGATTTAGTTAGCTTTATTTCATTATGAGACTCCCATAAATTATAACTTCTTAACAATACAAAGTCGAGATGAGCTGCCGTTCTAGTGAGGCGGACAGAACAATGTGCGAGAATTGGTCCGCTTTCTAACAACGAATCTACAACGAATGGCGTTAGCAAAAGATCTTCCGAGCATTCGAATGACGCTGCCGCCCGGCCGGCACTCTATCGTGTGCGTCGCGTTACCTTTTTGCGACTATTTGTGTGCAATTGAAATTACCGAACTGCATTCTGATTGCGACAGACAGGAGTAAAGAGACAGTCCGGCAACAATTCAATTTCTAGCAATTAACGCCTCACGATGCTGAGTAGTTTACCAAAAGGTTCTTTTTTGGTTAGGACTATGCAAATGAACTCTCTCTCTCTCTCTCTCTCTCTCTCTCTCCCCACACACAGATTATAGAGTTCTGTAATCTGAAGCCCAATAACGAAATGTGGCAGGGCAGCTCTGTTATTGTATCGCATCGTCAAAGTTTCTATGAAAACTAAGCAGCGCCCCTACCGGACGTAAGAACAAACTGGCTCCTTCCATACAAAATTTGACGATGATGATACGATTACGGATCTGCCAAAGTTTGTGCTTCGGAAACCTTCTAATACTTATTCGGATCTTAAAAGTGCGAACTATTCAAATCAAAATCATCATCAACAGACTATCAATGACCCATTGCTGAAACATGCTAAGCATGCTATGCTCCATATGTTCAACAATATAAATAGTAGCTTAGCAATCTGTTTATTTTAAAACCAGCTCACTATGCATAATTAAAACAAAACAACGAGTCACCTCTCTTACAAAACACGGCTTTTTCACAAGGAAAAAGTTTCGAGTCATCCCAAAAATCACCCGGAAGTAGCCAACACATAAACACAGCATGTGTTCCATTCCACGCAAGCAAGCACAATGGGTCTCATTGTCCATTGCCGACCACACCACTTTCTGTGGAGCACTGACCGGGCCGAATCAATGGTACAAAACAGATGTTCAAAATCACTATTCATCTTGAAGATTAAAAAGGTATTTCTAACTACGAATCGATTCTTCCACGCTGAATTGAACATAATTAATGATGGATCATTAAGGGAGAACGTATTTCAAAGCAGCCAGTACTCAATAGTTAATTAACATTATGTTCAATATTAGGAAAATCTAAGCTCAACGACAGTGAGATTGCGATTACAGAATCGACAGAAGATAAAAAACCTGCATTGCTGCAGGTGCTGAATAATTGGTTCTTAAGTCCGATAAGACCATAGATATGAATGGGGTAATGGTATTAAGGAAAATCTTTTATAGTGGAAGGGAATGAATGATGTATCCAGTGCCGTCTTTGACCTATTGGAGGCCCTGGGCATATTATATATATATTATATATTGGGGCCCCATGACCCCCATTTTATGATCTAACAAGAACTAGGGACTTTGTATTTGTGATCTGAGGTGCCCACCTATCGATCACGAGGCCCTGGGCACTGGGAAAGACGGGTCTGGATGTATGAGTAGGCCACAAGCGACTGATACTTTCTTTCAAATCAAATCAAATACATAGCATACGGAACCTATAATGAATAATGGTGACCGCTAATCATTAGGCGGGCCAAATTTTTATCTTGATTTAATTTTGTGCTTTAAACGATTTGGGTTTAAACTCTTTGAAGCAAAATGTGAGTTAGCAGCCGTTGTATCAAGTTTTAACAAAATCATAACGACTTCGAAATATTATTTTATTGCCGATATAAGTAAATATGTATCTCTAACCTGACTGATTAAAGAAAATACTGCATAACTACATCATTATAATATTATAGTAATGTAAGTTATTTACGGGCAGTTACTCCATGATCATGGCGCTTGCAAAAGCGCCGAAATATCGGAAACTCGCTAAAAACTTGATTTTTGCCATGTACCTTACATGGTAACAATCCCGTAAATAACTGATATAACTATAATGTTAGTGACCATGAAAGTTTAAAACAATATATCATTATAATATTCTCGATAAATAAATGGAGAGAAAGCATTAGTAGGTCTACCTCTGAATAAAAGCATTTTTGTTTTTAGAGAAATCCTTGTTAATAATAATAAAGAGTACCGTAAGTTGATAATTGGCCTAGAATATTTTTAAATTTAATTATAGAATATTTTTATATTTTAATATTGAGTTTCAGGAACTTGGCAACTTTCGTAAACTACTTATTTTTGTTTATTTAAAAAGAAGAAAAGAAAATTAATAATATCTTTTGAATCTCGTATCGCTGACGGCTTTGAACCCACGCGATCCTTTTATTTATTTACAATTGCACACAGTACATAATGAGTAAGTATTCAAAACAAAATATGTATAAGGGCTGGAAGTACGCCAAATATTTATTAATAAAATTTATTTTAGAACTTTCTACCAAAATAAATCTTGTTTACATCAACAATTCAGGGTTAGGGAACTTCACAACAGAACATAATACTTATAGCATAGATGAATTAGTTGGTCTCTCTGCACCGAAGGGAGACCAATCATTTATCTAAGACTAAGTTATTTTTTATCGGGTACCGCTAAGGTCATTCATTAGTCACCTACAAAATTTCTCTAACTAGTCTGGCCATAAATACGGTTACATAAAAACTTTTTTTTTTAACTTTTTAATTATTTTGAATTTGGAACACGTATATTATTTTAAAAACTTCTTTGTTTTTATCACGCTCAAATGTCAAATTACTATGGAGTTTGACAGTAAGACGCGATAAAAACGTGATATAATGTAAATTGTTGTGCTGATGCTACGGGGACTAGTATCGTTTTAACAGGTTTCGTACCTTACCGTACGTTAATTTTGACACCAGAATCAATCGTTTGCTGCTTGGCAGAAATGGCAGTCAGATTAGGACAATCATTTATAAACTTGATAACATGTCGTATGAAAATTTTAAATTGATTACAGAACTTATTTTTTTAGGCGCTTTTTGTTAGATATTCACAAACTTTTTTCACCATTCCGTGACTTTGACAATCGCTGTACTTTTTTCTATTTCAAATGTATAACCTTATACGATGTCGCGGAAGCCTTCGTGGGAGAGTGAGGTCAGTTCGTTCGAACTTGGCGATCTTTAGGGACTTCAACCCCGGAAAACGAAAATTGTTTTCAATTTTCTTGGTAGATTTCTACAAGGGGGAATCATAGCTCCGTCGTGGCTTCAATATGTGTAATTATGCTCTCTGTACGTTTCTTTATTCATGTGGTGCTATGCTATTCTGTAATAACGAATACCTATTTTCTGATGGATTTCCCTTAAATTTTCTCAGACTTAAATGTGGCATTTGATTTTCATTAAAATATATAATTTGCGTGCAAGAATATTGAAATTTGACCAGATTCTGGCATGGTTCTTTAAACTCAAAACATTTTTTTTTTGAGTGTGTATGCTGTTGGTCGCACGCATATGACCTTTACAGCGTCACCGAGTTTGAGGAAGGCGAGATCCTAAGGGGACATCAAGCCGAGAATTGGCGAGTGCCTCTAGAGGTATTCCAGGCGGATGGCGTCTCCCCACGGGGGGAGTCACCTCTTCGTCTGGAGCCTCTAGACCACTCAAACCTGTGGGGGTCGGCGCAACTAGAGGGCATCTCTGAGACTCGGACCTCGGCTCTAGTTAGCCGTTGTCGTGAGGGGCCGGGAAAGACTCAAAACTAAGTTTACAGGCACTGGTAGTCTTTTCTTTTTATCGTCTGTAGGGCATGATAAGACAACTCAGTACTTTTTTACAACGCAACTATCTGATTATAGTTACTTAAATACTTGCTAGGAAGAAATTTGGATCGTATCATTTTGTTTTAAAATAGCTAGGTATTTCACATTCATCCAAAAAAGTAAAACCACCCTAAGACATAAAAAGACAAAAGCTATTTTAACCGTCGCGTCGCAAGCAGTTAGTGTAGTGAGATTAACTACCAGTTACAGTTAAACCGCGGTTATTTATAACGACGTACGCGAAGCACGCGCCGCGCCGCCCGCCGCGATCCCCGTATACTTAGAAGATGCCATATTTAGAAGCACATACCAAATATGGAGGCGAATGAATCAGCAATTTGTCGATTCATAGAATATGGTAAAAAATACGAATCAAAAACCGTTGATTTATTAACAAACGTTCCGTTCCATCCTGGTAGGCGGACTTAGTAATTCCATGAAACTCTTAATTTGCTTCTAAAATTAAATAGAAATCTAAGTTAAGTTTGCTTTTAACATATTGAGAATTGTATTTTACAGTCAAGATTTCAAATTGTTTATAGTAATGTTACGATCAACTAAAAAAGTTACGAGTTGCGTGCAGTTAGCTAATTAACATACACAGAACTCATCAGATTTATAATTTGACTGTTGTTATATTAACGCTTACACAACGTAACAAGCAAGGGCCATATTCGGAATCTCTATGTACTTCTATCAAACTAGTGAACTTTTAAGTTTGACTCACTATAATCTTTTTCCTCAAATGAACGCGGGTGATACCGCACAGGACCTCTAGTTGTGATATAACTGTAATAGTTAGACATATAGTATCGCGGACTTTATTGTAGATATTGATGTACTCAAATACATCACTTTGCTCTATTGTCAATGATTTGTGTAGAGGATCCTGGTTATATTTTAGTCCCGAAATGTTCGGGATTAAATGTAATGAATCCCGGGATTTTTGGGATTGATATATTTTTTATATAAGTCAATAAAAATATACTTGAAATGAAACGCGCTTACTTTCATTT